CATTAATATCTCTGTCTTCAAAGCTCAAAGTCAGGTTCTAAATGGTGAAAATCAAACCACAAACCACCCTTGGAATGAAATGTGCATGGAGATGTGTTCAAAATCACACCCCCAGTCTCACAAGGATGACATCAATGTCAAGCCTTCCCCTGAAAAATCACCAACCTAAAGCTCTCGTTTTATCACGATGAATAGCTAAACGAAAAGAATAAAGGAAAACCCCGGGGAGGGGCAGAGGGGAAGAGACAGGGATGATAAGCAAAGATGGGCGTGGCCGACGATCCAGTTCTACTTCCCGGCTCTGCACTGCACCCATAGGCTGGCTTGTAATGCCCATGCCCATTTTACAGATGAGGCGGTAGAGGTTCTGAACAGAAGAACAACCCCACTGTTCTCATGGAAAGAGAAATAACTGTGTCAGAAGAGAATGCGCCAAAACCAGCACCAACAGCCAACTAAATGAGCCTTGGCAATCAAAGCTTGGGCAGCCACAGGTGAGAGCGAGCAGGTACTGGGCTGAGGCAGGGGAGTTACAGGTGGTGACATTCAGCTGCTAAGTAAAATGTGAACCAGGAACACAAGGCCTCTAAGAAGGACTTGGAAGAGGCCACACCCTAAAGTCACATCAAAACCTATGGCCCTCTTGTCCTGGGTCCCAGGACCTCCCACTCAGCTTCCAATTCTTTGGGTAATGTGGCACAAACATTCCAGGGGGATAGTCTGTCTGGGGCAGGGAGCTGAACTGTGGGCCCATCGACTCTTCCTGAGCTTGTCCCAGGAACCCCTGTGCATCCCCCAGAACTGAGCAGTGGACACCCTGTGTCATCCCAGAGGTCCTCAACAGTGGAAGGCTCACCTGACAACAAGAACTCAGCCATTTAGTCTTTTCTTGAGACACGCCTGGGTGTCATCCTCACATTTGGGTGTGAGATTTTACACGGTTAGATCTAAGATGTCACACGCTGCACATCAAAAAAGACATTGACCAGCTGGGGGAGCCAGCAGAACAGGGACAGGCTATCACCACCACCACCATCACCAATAAGTAAGCTGTCTAGCCTCAGCCAACTAACTAAACCTCTCTTAACGTACGCTCTTATCCTAAAAACGCACGTGATCCCTACCTTCCACCCTTACGTACCAAAGATCATGTGTGGAACGCCACCTGGGCATTGTACATGGTCAGTAGGTGGGAAGCCCTTTTACCTGTGGCTTTGAATCCCAAGGTTTCAGTCGCTCGATCAATAGCCCTGTCCTGGCTGCAGCATCCTCCTCCTAACAGCGCCACCAACCGATGTCTAACGCTGCATCACATACTTGTGTGGCCCACCTCACTCCATGTCACCCCGTGTCATCGACAGACGTGGACACCAGAGCATCAGTAGGAAGATGGAGCACTACAGGACAATCAAAAGACCTCTGGGAGAGGTCGCCTCCATGTAACCCCTGTCATACCATGGTATTGCTGTAATTGTTCTACTGTCAAACTGATGCTCATTTCTTACTGCGCCCGTTCAGAGAGCAGGCTCTATCATTAGTATACATGCACAGAAAAAAACACTGAACAAGTATCATTCAGTACTGTCCATAGTTCCAAGTGTCAGCAGATGTTTGGAAACAGATCCTGGCAGATGAGGGAGGGAGACACCTGTATTGACAGTCATTTTACAGTGTCTCAGCCGAAAGTCCCCTAAGGACAGTCTTCCACAACTCTTTGCAGAGTTATTCTCACCACAGACTGGCGCTAAACACACTTATTAAGAACACCAGCCCCACCCACAGCCAGGTCGTTCCCAGGAAGGCACACCCAAGGATGCTCCAAAGTCTCATGGTTAGGCACATGGGAGGAGCCTCCATGTGATGGTGTAGCCAGCACAACGCACAGCTCAGCTCCTCCCCAAGACAGACGGACGTCCTCTTGGGACACTTGCACCAAGCTTCCTAAAAGTGCAGCTGTACTTATCTGCAGAACTGAACTAACAAGGGCCATCTCTTGTCCTGGCAGAAAAGATGGAGACCCAGCCCCAAGGGACATTCAAGGATCAGTTGCACTTGCCTGGCTCCCGTCTCCTTGGAGACTGACTCCTTTATAACATGTGTATGTCGTCAAGAATAGACTGTAGTGCTGGAGGGACGGCTCAGTCATTAAAGGCTGGGTTCACTTATCAAAATGTAAAATAGACCATACTCCCCCCACGCTTTGTCATACAGAGCAAAAAGACACCTGAGTTAGCAAACCCTGGAAGAGTGACAGTACCAGTGAAGGGACTGTGGTCAGCAGCAGCCTACCAAAAGTCCCTCCCCATGGACAGCCGGCCCAGAGGAAAGCAAATGCTATCACCATGCTTCTGAAGCAGGTCCCTCGTGGGCCACAGGCTGCATGGCTGCTTCCGCTCCCTACCCGCCCCCCCATCACCATCATTCACCACCATCTTCACCCTTCCCAGCATGGAAGCCGCTGAGTCACTCTTGCCCCCCCTGATGGATGACACTTCAACTGAAGCTCATTCACACCCGAGTGTCACCTCAGGCAGTGCCCTGCAAGCCTCTCCCATGAAAGGGCCTTTTCTTCTTGAAGGGAATCTGATGAGCAGACAAGGCAGTCAGGCAGGATGGCCCACAAGCCACCCCAGATCTGCATCTGCCCTAGCCTGACCTAGCAGCTGCCTTCTCTCCCACCTGCATAGAAAAGAGCTCCATGTCCTGCCTGGCCCATCTAATGCCTAGGTCACCTCTCCGGGCTTCCAACTCCAAAGATAGGATTCCAAACACACACACATAGAGTCACAGACACACATAGAGTCACAGACACAGAGACAGAGACACAGACACACAGTCACAGACACAGAAATAGAGACACACAAAGTCACAGACACAGAGATAGAGAGACATACACACAGTCACACACACATACACACAGAGTCACAGACACACAGAGTCATAGACACAGGCACATAGAGTTACAAACTCAGAGATAGAAAGACACAGACACACAGAGACAGACTTATAGAGTCACAGACACATAGACACAAACACACAAAGACACATACACAGACAGATACATATAGAGACACAGACACACACACACAATCACAGACAGAGAAACACAGGCATACACAGAAACTCAGACACACATACACACACAGAGAGAGACAGAGTCACAGACAGAAATAGAGACACACATGAAGTCACAGATACAGAGATAGAGACATACACACAATCACACACACAGAGTCACAGACACAGTCACAAACTCAGAGATAGAGAGACATAAACACCCAGAGACAGACACATAGAGTCACAGACACACAGAGAGAGACACAGACACATACACATACACACACACACAGATACATATAGAAAGACAGACACACACACAGTCACAGACACAGACACACACAGAGACTCAGACACACGCACAGACATAGAGACACACATACACACACACACACTCACTCACCCATACCACCCACAAAGCACAAACAACCCTGAAAATGATGGCCTTCACTAACACAGGTAAGACACAGTCGAGCCCCCCTCCCCGCTTTGGCATGCTATGTATCCCCAACTGTAAGGTTTCATTAATAAAAGCCCCTGGGATGTTCGCTGCTCACTTCTCCGGGGTGACTTCTTACACAGAGTCGGAGTGCGAGGCTCACCCTGTGACCAGAGGGGAAAAAGCACCAAGTCCGCATCCTTAGGCAGGACTGGATCACAAGCAGCACAAAGGTCACAGGTCACACTCCGGGACTCAGATCTGGTTCTAAGATGTCACATCTGGGTGACCAGAGAACTGCCTGTCCGGCCCATTCCACTCCACCCAGGAGTTTCCGGGGTCTTGGGAGGATTAAAGAGAAAGACCTCAGCACAGCTCTCAGCTCTCAGGAAGCATGTTAGTGGCCACTGGCTTTTAAAGAAACTATTGTCCACCTGGTAGACAAAAATCAACTCAAAATGGATTAAAAGACTGTGATAAAAGGAAAAGGCTGTCTGTCAACTCCATGGCTCCTCATATACACCCTACGGATCGGGACTTAGCCCATCTTACTGATGAGAGAGTGGAGTGTTTGTGAGTCCCTGAAGCCAGGGTCAAGAGCTCAGTGCTGAAGAGCCGCATTCCCACGGAGCTGCTGAGAGCCGTGGGCACGGCAGACTTCAGCATTCTGGGCTTTCCTGGGCTCTTACGGGGCCCACATGCTGCAGTCACTAAAGGAGGTGTATCCTTTTTGTCTGTGTTCCTGCCTCTCTTTTCTGAGTCTTGAGAAACCACCCTCCAGGAGGTAAGTACCAAGTAGTGTAGTATGCTCGGGGGTGAGCATGCCACAGGACATCAGACGAATAAAAGTGTAAGCTTTCCAGGCTACAGGCGGCCCGCTGTCCCAGGAGAAGCTGGGAGTCAGGCTGCAGGGCAAGGACAGCTTGTCCAGGTTCCTCCCCTCCTGCTCCCCTTCCCAGCTGGGGTGGGGTCACAACCTCCCTGAGCTCTGCCTCTGGACACTGCCTCCAAAGCAGCTCAGGCCCCACACTGTGCCTGGGGGCAGGCAGATCTAGCCCCATCCCCCCACACCCACCAGCAGCTTTCAGCATTTGTCCCAGGGTCTTCCAGCGGGGCAAGGGTCTGGTGCAGTGACCCCTGGGACCTGCCTCTCAGTCACTGGCCCAGGCAGCCTGGAAAGGCTCTCATAATCAGACACAGAGAGTTTCTAGGAGGGGAGCCCCAAACGGAGAGGCCTGAACTCGGGACCCTGCTCTGTGTTTCCTGGAGAACAGCCCACCTCAAATGGGGACGATCATGATACAAAACGAAAACCGGGCAGCTTCCAAACAGAAGTGCAGCTCTCCATTCAGGTCCCCCCCCCCCAAGCTGCAATCCCATCACCTTCTTCCAAACGCCCCCCCCCCCCCAAACCAAGCCCCAGTGAAACCACCACGGCCCAAAACCCCTGCCTCTGCCTGCGGAATCCCCAAAGAAGGACTTGCTTAAGGCAGCATCTACAAACCAGCTCAGGAGTAAGAACCTTCGCTCTGCAGTGAGCCGAACAGCAGGGACAGTAAATTGAACGGATGAGGTGACCCTGTGCAGGAGTGGAAGGAGCAGGCATTTGTGCAACCAGCATAAACCTCAAGAGAATGCGAGCTGCTTCTAGGACAGGCTCACAGAGGCCTTTTGTTTCCAAGGTGCACTTTGCAGTGTTTTAGGCAGAGGGACCGTGACTGCGGAGGAAGCTCATCTGGGAAGTTTCCAGTCTCTCCTCCCTCCTCCTCTTCCTCTTCCTCTTCTTCCCCCTACATTCCGTGTTTAGCCAGCTTTCTCTCCCTGACAAGAGTCCAGACTAGCCCACCATTTCTCCCTCAAAGAGACTGATCACCAGGCTGGGTGCAGATGCCACGGTAAACTGCTCTTAGCATACGGGGCATCTCAGGAGCTGCTGGGGGAAAACTGCAGGGACATAGCACAGAACACGGTACCAAGGTCCCAAACTCCCTTCACCCCCGGGGAAACGAGCTCTGAGAACTGCATTTGTGCTCAAGCAGAACGGGCAGGCGGGCAGGCGTCCGTCCGGCTCTGCACCCCACCAGCAGCAAGGGCACAGTCAGGCGCCTGGGTGACCACTGCAGCCCAGCTTGGGGGCGGAAGGTGAAAGCAGGCGCATGGTGGAGCCACAGCGCCATCAAGTGGCTGCTTTGTGAATGGTCACAATGTGAGCACGCCTGGCTCAGGGACAATAATGTCCAGGGTTCCCAGCCTCAACTATCCCTGGAGAAAATAGGACTGCCAAGCTGTCACTCCAGGCCCTGGATCAGGAGCCTACAGACGGACACCATCTGTCCAGGCATGTAACAGTCTCTGGGGCTGGCCTGGAATCTGCCCCAGAGGATGCTCGGAGATCCTGGTCCAACTCTGGGAGCGGGTCATAATCCGGGGACCTTCTCTCCTCCAGCACTGTGCTCAGTCTATAGGGTTCCCAAGAGGTGTGGGACAGAGGTGAGGGGACACCTCCCTGGCAGCAGACCTGCCAGCCTGTGTGTGTCCTGCAGTACATCAGCTGTAAGACCAGCTCGTGGGAAGGATTGCAGCCTTGGAGTGAGGGTTGCTGCTCATAGCCCTGACAAGTCCATAGTTTTAACACTCTCTCCTGGAACTCAGAATGTAGTTCTAAGTACTTCCTGGGACAGATCTGATCCTCGGGAACAAATTACAGAGTAACCCAAGAGGAAGACATGTGATCTCCGGCCACAGGCCCAGAAGGACTCAAAACACCAAAATAAACACACACACACACACACACACACACACACACACACACACACACACACACACACACACACACACAGCGAACAGAGGAATGTTCCAGATCAGGCCTATCTGAAGGCTTGAATGCATATACCACTTTCCTGCACACCACACCTATGATAGAATATACTATGAAAAGCAAACTAAGCAATTAAGAGATTATCAGTAACTATTAACCAACCAGAACAATTATGGCAACATACTGTGGTTAAAACTCATTCAACATTTACAAATTCATTATTTATGAAACTTTTCGACTTAATATATTCTGGCCACAATTTCCAGCAGAAAATGAGGTTGCAGAGATGAGGGAGGGCACTGCTATGTGAATTGGGGTAAAGCTGACCACAGGACAGTATGGCGGCACGTCCCCTGTGCTAACTCCGCTGGACATGCGATCTTCGTCAACCTTCCCCACAACCTTAGGAAAGGGGATCTTTTATGATTCTGTTTTATAGGAACCCCTGGCTGCCTGCTGGAGAGGGGCAAAGCCAGGCCTGGATCCTGGCACTGACTGAGCAGACCCTGTCCTTGCTGCCTCCAGATGCCATCCTTCTCCCTGACCCAGGTTTTATCAGAGAGTCCCACGTTTCTAGTGGGCGGGGCATCTCCAGTATGAGCAGGCTGTGAACATCTGGCTAGCTTTGGGCATGAGAGACTGTGCAGGTGAGGGGGCCGGGGCCTCCCTATCTCAGGGCAAACCCACCTCTGCCCTCTGTGGCCCCGCCCCCACGCCAACCTTATCACCTGGCCTTCGGGAAGCACCTTCCCCAGGGGCCCCTCCTTCCCAGCCACTGTTCTGGCTTCTGCAACTGACTTCCAACGCCAGCTTGCCCTTGAAGCTGCCAGGGCTCCAGGTTACTCGGCGACATTCCAACCGCCAAGCACGAAGAAGCTGTTCTCAGCCCGCCCCCCCCCCACGGTCCCGACCACCACCACCACCCTCGCCTCCCCCGGAGGCTCTCAGCCCTGATGCTCACATTTGCCTAAACACACTTCGAGCACACACCCATGTGGTTGTATACACAGGTGTGTATGGGTGTGTAGGCATGTGTGCAAACATGGAGGACAGAAGCCCACTTTGGGCATCTTTGTTCTGCTGATCTCCGCCTTGGTTGTGGAGACGGGGTCTCTCGTTGAACCTGTGACTCACAGATTTTGCTAGGCTGGCTGGCCAGTGAGCTCGTGTGTGGTGGTGTTTTGTGTGTGTGTGTGTGTGTGTGTGTGTGTGTGTGTGTGTGTGTGTGTGTGTGTGTGCTGTCTTCGCCTCCCCATTGCTGGGATTACAGCAGCCAAGCACACAGCCCAGCCCTGACTAGCTTTTAAGTGGATCCTAGGGATCTGACTTGGGGGGTCTTAGGGATCAATGCCTCTACAGCAAGCATTTTACCCACTGAGCCAGCTTCCAGAAACAGCTCTGCCTGGAAGCATCAGGACACAGTGATGTAGCATTTCCCGGCTCCCTCTCACTTTGTGGTCACTCTGCTCACAAGTCGCCTGCTCCTTAACCTCCCAGTGTGCAGCAGAAGAGTCACAGTGACAGAGACCGCTAGAAGCTAAGCTTCACCCAGACCCTCCGGAAGTGCCACGTGAACCTCTCCTGACTGGGTACGCTCTCCGTCTGTCCGTCCTCCATATCATCAGGACCACACAGCAGGGGTGATTTGAGGGACTGAGTGAGCTCACACACGGAACATCAACGTTTAACATGACACCAGGCGCAGAGCTGGGCTCCCAATGGCTGAGTCTTTACCAGCCCTGAGTCGGGTCCGCCTCTCAATCCGGGGCACTCAGCTACGTCACCGTTCCTGTTTGATGGAGTGAGGTCACTGAACACATCTTCTCTAAAGGTGATGCCGTCCATGGTCTCCTCCCCTCCCTTATCCTGCTGGCCTGTGAACGGTACCACCTCCCTGGTTCAGCCACCTCCCTGGACTCCCCAAAAGTAACAGAAACCCCCCTCCCTACACCAGTGGGGCTCTAGTCTGGCCCTGGTGCTGCCTGTGGTGAGGACCACACTACACTGTGTCTGTATTCCCCGAAATTCACCTGTGGAACTCCGAAAACCCATGGTGATGGCATTAGGAGGAGGGGATTAGAGGGTGGACCTTGGGAATGGGATGCAGTGCAGTCCTTTGGGACTAACTGAAAGGCAAACATTCTCACAGACCTTAGCTCTGTGAGGATAAACCATGCCTGGATGGGGACCCTGGGGCTGTCATCATTAAGTAAAGTAGGAACGGTTTATTAGGAAAGCCTGCTTTTCAACCTGTATCCTCTTTGTTCCCACAGAGCAGAAAGCCACAAACCTTATGGAAGGCCATGTCCTATGGGAGACAAACCCTATGGAAGGCCATGTCCTATGGGAGACAAACCCTATGGAAGGCCATGTCCTATGGGAGACAAACCTTATGGAAGGCTACATCCTATGGGAGACAAACCCTATGGAAGGCCATGTCCTATGGGAGACAAACCCTATGGAAGGCCATGTCCTATGGGAGACAAACCCTATGGAAGGCTACGCCCTATGGGAGGCCGAGTCCTACTCTTCAGGCTGAGACTGGACAGGAAGCAGTTACCTGCCTACTCAGGGCCTGTGGGACTATCTAGGACAGCTAAGGACAGTGCCCCCATTCTAGAAGGGTCTTCCACCCCAGTGCAAAGCCACGCCTCAGCCCATTGAATGCAGGGAGCCACCACAGCACATCCTACCCTGGCACGCCCAGGCCTGAGTCCACAGCTCACGTTGTTTTGCCTCCCCGTGACTGACAGTAAACGTGAGTTACACCCTGGCTGCACCGTGAGTGTCGGTCCCTGCTCTTCTGATACCTCCCCGGGGGGACTTGGGAAGCCAGCAACGGGCCGCAGCATCCCAGCTCCCTGAGAACTGAGAACGGCGGCTGTGATCCTCCCTGATCTCAATCCACTTCCTGGGTGACTTACGGCCTCCCTCATCTGTCCAGCTGTCCCTCGCCTGCTTTATGGACCCAATGGATTACTACAAGTGCAAGAGGCGGCCTTCTAAGGAGACCCAATGCCCCCTCCTTCTCATTCACGAGGCAGCATCTGATGCACCCAACCACCCCTCATTTGCTCTAGATTCATGCACCAGCAAAAGCTTCTGGATCACTTCCTAGAACAAAGAAGACCGAGGTACTGAAGTCACCGAGTGAGGTGTCTGAGCTCCCTCAGTCTGTCTTTGCCCAGCGTCCCCTACCTCTGCCTGACCACTATGGGACCATGGGGACACAAGGAGCCAGGGGAAGGAGTTGAGGTAGACGTGGGTGTGGTATCTGAAATCCATGAGGAGCTATTATCCCAGAAGGCATTGCGGCTGATGTGTGTACTTTTCAGGGGTCCAAACCATAGTCTGCCATGGCCTTACAGACAGGTGAGAACAATGTCACCTCACCCTTAGTGGACTTCACCCTTAGTGTTATCCCGTGCATCAAGCAGGTGACCTGCAGTGATAGCCTCCACCTCACCAATGCTTTGTGGAAGGCAAAGCTGGAGTCTTTGGGGAGTGACCCCACCAAGGGAACACTCCGGTCCCTGTCCAGGGTCAGGCTGGGCCCCTGCTGCTACTGCCACCAATGTAATGTCCCCAGCTATATTGCCAGGGGCATCACTGTGACTTCTACAAATAAAAGCCCAGCGTGACCCCTTCAGGAACCCCCATCACACAGACCCCAACCAAGCCCAAAAGCCAGTGAGTAAGCACACTCATTAGAGGCTTAAAGAATACCAAACTCACACCCCACAGCAACAGCAACTGTCACACCCAGCCTGGGAGGAACCTGTCCAGGGCCAAGATGATGGACTTTAACAGGCAGCCACCTGTCTGCACAGACCCGGCGAGGATAAGATGGGTAAGTAAATAAGGGGATGGAGGAGCAAACCTTCCTTACAGAAGAACTGCAAATAATGACTATGGATCTGCTGTTAGTATTCAGGCATCTGCACTGGCCTGGCCTTGGGGTTCTAACAGGACACGCCCTCAGCTGCAGCCACTAAGAGCACCACCTGTACATGGTCACTGTGTTCCCTTTTAAAAGGGCCCTGACCACCTCCCCACCTCCCATCTCCCCCACTCTGTCTCTCTCTCTGTCTCTCTGTCTCTCCCTCCCTCTGTCTCTCTGTCTCTCTGTCTCTCTGTCTCTGTCTCTGTCTCTGTGTGTGTCTCTCTCTCTCTCTCTCTCTCTCTCTCTCTCTCTCTCTCTCTCTCTCTCTCTCTCTCTCTCTGCTGCTTCTGCTCCTGTCTCCAGAGGCCTAGTCTCCCCTTTCCTCCTTTTATGATCCCTTTCCCCAATTAAAAACAAAACCCTCTGCTTGAACCCTATGGCATGGCACCTTCTCTCACATGCTTTTCTTAAATTGCAACCTCCACCCCATACATCCTCAGGAAATGGTGCTCACTCTCCTGGTGAGGACCAGGGAGGGCCTCTTCTAGTGACCAGGAACACAGGGCTGGGAAAATGGCCATGGCTGTGAGAGCATATAATAGCTGGGCTGTATAATGAGGTCAAGGCTAGCTTGTCTCAAAATAAGGGCAAAGCAAAAAGGAAAGAGGAAGAAAGAAATATCCACACATACACACCACACCACATACATCATGCCACATCACACACCACACACACACACACACACACACCACACACACACACACACACACCACGCAAGCACGTCTAACACACCTGCCGTGGCCATCAGCCTCTCATGAGAAAAGCTAAGTTGACAAAGTCACCTTACTTTCAAGAGTATGTGTGATCCATCACTGGCGCGGAGGCTCATGCTCTGTGCCCTTTCTGAGACTGAGCCCCCAGAAGACACCACATGCTCCTATGTGACTCACGTAAGGGACAAGCCCTGATCAGAAGGACAGGTCTCAGTCTTAACAAGATGAGACCCAGGATGAGATGGACCTGTGAGGCTGATACACAGAATC